TGTGGGAGGAGATAGGTGACTTACGATGGGAATAGGTAAAAAGAGTAGTAAAAAATATGAAATAGGAGAGGTTGATGAGTATGTTGATTAAGAGAAAGCATAAATTACCAGCGGTAAACTAGAATATATAACAATCAATGCAACGCTTATTAGCTCCAATTCAAAAAAGGTAAAAACGAAGCAATCTTCATTAATAATTATATAAGGTTTTTAAATTTTCATTAATTATAAGCATATTAGGTGTTGCAATTAGCGCATCGAGAACTTATAATACAATCAATAGGAGCTTTGTAATACTGTTATTGAATCAATTCAACATTTATATACTGAGGGGCCTAGGAAGTAGATAAAAAAAAGCCAAGATTCCTCTTGTTCTATTACAATGCTTACTGTAGTCCATTATATATAAAATAATAGAACGATGACAATTATCTATAGTAAAGTAGTGCGTTGTTTTCTTTGATTTTAAATAGGTAGTATCATGTCATTTTTGATGTATCATTATACGTTTGCAAGAAAAGTTATAAATACAAATATTTTCCTATTGTATAAAAATGACGCTGTATATACAAAGAAGAAATCTTCTTCCTTAGCTTCCTAGTATATTTCTCCTTAAGTAAACTATTAAATGTTCTCTTTACTATTATTATACATAATAAAACGACAAAACTAAAATATAGATGTGCTCGTCAGCTATCAGTTCGATAGCGCCATCTGTCTGATAGTTAAAACATTAAAATTTACTGAGTACATTTCAAGAAATTACCTATTATAGAATTTATAAAAGTATCACTTAAAAACTTGAAGAAGAAAGAACAAAGGAAAATTTTTAACATACGAGAAAGATTTTGGCTAAAAATAAAAAATGAACTTTTTTTATCAAACTTAAAAAGGTAATTAAAAAAAGTACTAATAAAAACAGATATGATAACATTATATGATTTTAATTAATTAATTAATTAATTAGATAATAAGGTAGACTTTGAAAAAAAAAACAACGAATTTTGTGAATGCAAGTATAAGGATGAAAACTACTCAAAGACTTTGTAGGAGGGTTATACAGCTCTGTAGACGTTGGTAGTTTTTATCGTGTATTTATGTTATACTGTACATATATATATGTAAGATCGCTCTTTAGCAAAAAAAAGGCAAAATCTAAATTAAGAGCAATTTGAAACAAGTAAAGGATATTAGCATAGCATTTATATGACATAAGAATTACTAATAATGCTTAGTTAATGAATGTTAAAGTCTTATACGTTAAGAATTAAATATAAAATTTGTTTATAGTGTAGTGTTTACTGCAAAGATTTATGAAATATGCTATTTCTCTTTAAAATAAAAGAAAATATTATCATTTACAAGGAAAGAGAATATACTGGACTTGGGAGAGAGGGAAAGGGAGATAGATATACATATATATATAGAGTTAGGAGATATGGAGAGAAAAAAAGAGAGATACAGGGAAAGACAGAAAGAGACAGAGAGAGAGAGAGAGAGAGAGAGAGATAGGAAAAGATAGTTATACAAATAGATAGATAAATAGGAAAGGTATACATATATACTACATATACACTGTATATTAGTATATATACATTAGAATGCAATACGACTCGAGAAAGAAAAAGTGAAGAACATGCAGACAAAGAAAGTTATTATCAGTATGATATTTCGTATTGTCAAAAAAATAAGAATAAACAACCGAAACAAGAGGAATTGCTAGAAAACTTATTAACCAATTTTTTGATTAAATATAACCGAAATTAAGCTATAGCTAATCGAATCTCCGTAAATAATTCCTTATAAAAAACTCGTGACATTTCGTCTCTGTATATATTTCTACTATGACATTTTTACCATCGAATCGGGTCTAACTAGGTGCGATCAGTTCTCGTTAGGAAGTTGGCATTTTAGCTTGCAGTGGAGTTACAATACACCAGATTAGATTTAGTCCTGGCGGCCATAAATAAAGACATAATGTTAACAAGTTGTTCTTTTCCTTTACATAACAAATTGTAGAATCTATTTTTAGAAAGCGAAAAGAAAATAGACAAATTTTTTCGCCTAATTTACATAATTTTTTTGTTGAAAAAGTTGCTAAATATAAACAAACAAACAGCTGATAATCGTAACCTTTTAAGGTATCAATGGCGAACGTTCGATCTGGAAACTTTTCAAATGTTATCTTAGGTTATAACTTATTCACGAAATGTTTATTTTTTATGGGGATGTAGTAAAATATCTGATAAAGAATAATTTTTGTCGTTTATATATCTAAATACTAGTGATTTTCTCTACTTTATCATAAAAGAAAAGGCTGAGCAAGAGAGGAAGAGAGGGAGAGAGAAGACTTGACAAAAGTTTTGCTCTCTCCGTGAATCATACATCTCATATTATATTATATTTTACCATACTTCTTATAATCTGTTAATACGCTTGTACATAACAGAAGCTTGCTATGTATTAGATATTTAAGTTTGTATAGGAGGAAAAATACCTGACCAAATACTTCTCATATCAGTATTTACAGAATCCTATAACACAAGCTTTCTATGATTACCGCCAAATTCTCTCATCTGTATGTACATATGCAATAGATAGTCCTATTAGTAGACGTTTTTCTTTCCATCTTCTAAACTATACAATAGTCTCTGCTAACGATGATAGCATAATTAATTATCCCCTGTTGATAACTTTAACTCTTTATTTTCAATTATAGACAATAGGTTTCTATCGCCAAGCGTTATTGTTGCTTTTTCAATAATCAATAATTAGGGTAAGAGAATGATGTAATAACATTTATTAATCAAAGTTAATATTAAGGCAAAATAGAAATCTATTGATTGAAGAAGATTTAAAATGTTTTCATTCTCTTTATATAGACAGTGTTATTATTTAAACAGTAATTTAGTAGCAAGTTGTACATTTAAATCGAATTAATAGATAAAGAAAGAGTAAAGCCGAAAAATCCCAAGAGATATTTCTAAAAGAATGTTTTTCAATGTCATTCTTCCCTTTTTTTTAAGCCATTGTCACAATACTTAAAATTTAGTTAAGATTGTATTACAATACATTTTTTTTTATATTCTATGTTCTTGACGACGAACGATTGAAAAAAAAACCTTTTCTTATACGTGAAAATTAATATAATGTATACATATATAAAGAAGTATTCTTAGTTTTCTCACACAGACAACTCTCTAGTCGGTTAAATGAAACCATAAACATAGCGAATGTATATGTAGACTATGTATAATAATAATATATTCTTTGTGTGTAATTGCATAGATTATTTTTATACAACTGTAGAAATTACAAGAGTTCATCGCAAATATTAGATAACGATTTTATGGTTACCTACTAGTTACAGCGCAGCTTACTAGTAACTATAAGTAGTCAATCTGCATTCTTCATAGTAGCAGGAAGGAAAGAAATCTTTGACAAAGGGTATATTTTTATTTTTATACTTTTCATTTGTTTATCATCTCGTCTCTGGCGATAATAAACAAAGAGTAAGAGAGTAAAAAGTTTATAGTGTAGACTAATGTTTAGTCCATACGGTATAGGTTTGCTTATGTACAATTTAATAAAACCTTGTAGAGATTCAATATATTCCTTAATAGGTAAAAACAACGAATTGTAAATAGACATTGTATAAAGAAATTAGCAAGTACATTCTTTTATGCATAAACTGTATCGAGTTATAATGCACGTATGAATACACATATAAATTTATACTGTATATATATATATGTATATACGTTTGTATACTTTACATTATTTGTATATTACAAGATATATATATCATGATAAAGTTTAGGAAAGGATGTATATTTCATTTCGGGTATAATGTATACAGAGATTGGCATACATGCAGAACAATCAGTAACCACAAGCTATAACTAGAATTACTAATCTTGCAGGCTTTTTTCTCTTTGCGTCTTCTTTTTCCCTTTTATTTCTATCGTTGATAAAAGTTGAAAGTATTTACTTAATAGAACATTCTAGGAAATGATAACTTTTGCTAAAAATTGTTAAAGTATCAATTAGCGTGCTGATAATATTTAGAATTAAATAAAGTATATAGTTACTTTATTTTTAGTTTGTATATTTTCTATTTACTTTCTTTTTTCATTAAAAACAAGTAAATATTTTTGAATTACTTAATTAATTAATTTATCAATTAATTAATTTATTTATTAATTTATAAACTGTATGTTTTATTTATTTCTTAATTTTAAGTGAAAAAGCTTCAATTTGTTGTAGGGTATTAAGTTGTTATTTTATAAGTTCTGCTTTTATTTCCTATTAATGATAGATACGTAGTTAAGTTAAATTTAGGACAGAGGAAATAATAATATATATATAAAAAAAAGAGAGTAAAAGAAAAAGCACTTAAGTATATTTCGTGACTTTTGGAGGAGAATAATCAAACTTTATAGACTGGAAGATTTTGTGAACTTGATTTTATCCTTTTTCATTTTATAAACTGAAAAGAAAAGAATTGATTTATATATATATAAATGTTTAGTATATTTATATAACATTTAGATCAAGACTATACACTAAAAGCGTATTTAAAGTCTTAATAACTTCAATAGCCGTTCAATTTAAATATCGTTTCTATCCCATAAATTTAATATTATTCAAGTAAAATATAAGTAACACCTTTATATTAATTTATATTTATTTATATATGTTTTTAAATATATAATAGGAAAAACCAACGTAAATTACATTCTTCATAAACAAGCAAAAAATTTGGCATGTGAATAGTCTTATCTTATATTGTTATTATTCAACGGCTGATAGGCCTAATATTAAGCTATATATGCTTGAAAATATCGACAAATTTTCTTGTTTTCCTGGCCGACTAAAAACCTATAAGACTTAGATCAAAGATTAATTTTTTTTCTTTAGAGTTCTAATACTACTAAGTGAATAACCTACCTGAACCAGGCGGCGCCCTAAACGCCTTGGAGACGCCGCAAAACGCTTCTGCAGTAGGGGGTTTGCGCACGAAGACAGTTAACCTAATGTGGAGAAGTAACTTCAAAAACTTAATATGAAAAGAGTATCTAATCACCAAACAATATTACCATCAAATGGTTCAACAAACTGTTTAAGTGAACGTCAATGGCATTACTTTTTAGCATCATCTTTAATAACTTTTGCTCTTGGATTATTTATTCTTCTCCTATATAAATTAATTGCCTTCTCCTGCTCGAGATGGTCAAGAAGGAGGAAAGAAAGGAACGAAAACACAGGTCAAGTGGAGGCGGTTAGTTTTATGACAAAATTGAAATGGATGGCTGAAAGGTGGATATCGGGACAAACTGTCACTGGGCGGATATTGGTTAGTTATTTATATCCATTTATATTATTTAGCGTATCTTTTAATTATATTTTTTTACCAAGGTATCGCTTTCCTGTGTGCTTAGTATCGGTTCGCTGATTATTTATCTCATCGATGCTTCAAGGTAGGAATTAGTTTGCAAATTATTATTTTTAAACAGAGGCGTCATATATAGACACTTCGTATATTATATAATATTGTTATCCATCTACTACCTTACTGACGTTTTTTATCTATTCCACGTCCCTCCTTTTCAGTATCTCCTTCAAAAAGTCCCTCAAGTATTTTTTACTCTTTTTTATGCTTTATTTAATTTTTACCTGGAAGGCATCGTTCCCCGTAAATTACCAATTAAACTATAGTAAAGGTTTTTCTTAATAACAAGCAACAACGTTCTTGTTTAAAGAAAGAAAAGAAAAATCTTGTTACTACCTCTCTCTTATTCCCTTTTGTACAAATGTTTTTATGAAAGTTTTCATTATTTTCTTAAACTGATCATGTTTTATTAAGACAATGTATTAGGTAGATTTCTTTTCTCTTTCCCTTCCTTTTAAGGGAAATTATTAAAACGTACTTTCTGTTTATATATGATTTAACCAAAATAGACATTTTATTTAGTTATTGCGGAGTAGGATTACTAAGAAAATTTCGTTAAGAAATCAAAGAGGGTAAACAAGGAAAATAAATTTGTTACTAAGGTGGTATATTTCCAAAAATGTACAGATCAGAGAGAGGAGTTGTTAATCTACAAACCAGTCATAGTATATAGAATGTTATACATAAACAACTAGATGAATATAGTTCAACTCATTTAGTCATAGACAATATATAAAGTTAAAAAAAGCAAACAAACAATACATTAAGTTTGTAATAGGTTATTATGATATCCGACTACCGACCACAAAACTAATAAATGAAAGAATGCGTCAGTCAGATTATCATCGTATTAAAGGTTTTAATATTTTTAATATCATATTTCTAGGTAAAAGTTTACAGTTTAAGAACTTACTACAAAATATAAAAAAGTTTTCAATAGTGCTGTATATTTTTCCCATTAACGAAAATCTTTTATCGAGCTTTTCCCTATTATGTTTTATATATTTAACTGTTTTGTATTGTGATTTTTACCCTATTTTTTTTTACATAATATCCGCTCCCTCTACAACAGTATAAAAGACAATTTATTCTATTTTATTATTGTTTCTTTTACGAAAATAGTCAAAACAAAAAGATTTCTTTTTTATATTAAAACCCCCCTCCTCCCTCCTCCGTTCACTTTCTTTTTACTTTCTTTTTCAAAGATTATCTATAATAGGGTTAGAGTATTAAGTACTAGTAATAATATTAATAATGAAGATATAACCGATGCAATTCAATTTGATAAAAACAACTTTTTTTTACTTTTTACTAAAAACCCTTTGGTTATATCTGCTCTTTTTCCTATCTTCATTATCTTTATGCTCTCTTTTTAATTAATTAATAATATTTTTACTTGTCTAACAAACACAAAGGATGCTACACACTCTCCAGAGGCACTAATTTCTTTTTTTGCTTTATACTCTTCTTATCATTATTTACAAGATAAGAATGAATATGAACAATAATAGTAACGTATAAACAAACAAACAAAAAGAGTTGGGATTGATCTATTTTATACTTTCTGCAATTTTATTGAATCATATTTGTTTCCTTATTAATATAATTAACAAAGTTAGTACAAGTTGATATTATACAATGTTTTGTTTAGCGTCCGTGTCTTTAACACGTTCTTTTAGAAAAATTTACAAACAACTGTTTTTCTCTTTTTCATTTCTTTTTCTAGTACATTTCATAGCTTTTTGTTATTAAAAATACTATTAATAATAGTAATCATATTGCTAGGTAATACTAATACTAGTAAAAGGACATTTACTAATAGAAATATAACTTACAATTAATGAATAGACGTTTGTCCTTTCTATTAAACTGCAGTTCACTTTAATAAGCTTTATTAGCAAGTTTTATTAATTGTTTATTTCTAAACAGTACATATATATATATCATATTGTTTATTACTAGTCTTTACGTTCGTATTATGTATTTAATGCATAAATTAAGAAATGATAGTACTATCGGAAGTTTAATCTTCTAAAAATAAGTCTTCTATGTATTTTTTTTAAATAGATTGCTCACTAATCTGCTCTTACCGGAAGTAATCTTATTTTCTTGTCCCAATTGGGAGAGTATAGGGTTCACTTTTTTTAAGGTGTAGGCTTTAGTTTTAGTAAGGTGAATTAATTATGTAAATGATGTTTTGCATTATATTGTGTTCTGTATCTATCAATATATATTTATTTACCACCAAGTACGACACTATAGCAACTTACTATGTAAAATTAAAGACAAAAACGGTAATTACAAGTACATATCAGGGCTGATAAATGAGAAAGAAATTGGGAAATTGGGGGAAAAGTGTAGAAAAACGATTTTCAATGAAGCGTAAAAGTGCCAACGTTTCACTGCGAGCAACGGCACAACAAGACATTGACGATGAATCAAAGACTGAAAGGGAAAATACAGTTTTTACATAGGTTTTTTTTATATTATTATCTACCTCTAACATTATACAACGTTTGACGTTAATTGAAGGAGATTTGAAAATTGATAGGCCTAAAGAAAGCAGTAAAGAGTAGGAGAAAATGATTGAACAATCTCCTTTACTGTAATACAAACAATATTTATGGATGTTCGATTCTATTTGGCTGGCAATCGGGATGCTAGATATTTAAATTGCAGAAACCTCAGACGTCATAGGAAGAAATACAAATACATTTATGCATAATGAGGAACTTTGAACAGTAAAAACTGAATATATATTTATATATATAAAAGGAATTTCTACTTCCCTCCTACCCTCCCCTCCATGCCCCTTCGTCCCTCTTTTTTTTATTGGCATAGTACATACTGACCTTCAATTCCTGAAAGCCTGACATTTTCCCCTAATTTTACATTTTAACCCAGTTTTGAAAGTTGGTAGAGTGAAAAGAATCTATTAGAAAAATCAGTTTTAACAGTAACGCAAATGTTATCCATTCAATATCAACTAAAGAGGTATGCGCAGTATTGCATCTCCTTTGAAGTTACTAGCGTTACCGCTCAAAGTGCTACACTAACGAGATGAGACTAGCGTGTTGGAGTCTATTTTTCGACGCCTTTCGCGCTGTCGGCGACAACTCTGAGAAAATAAGTAGACACGGACCGTTTTTACAATAAAACTTTTCCTATAAGTTCTCAGACACCCCGCTGTTTCGTCTTTATACACATCCTTCATTATTTTTTCTGTATATTTACTTTATATATGTATTAATATAAACAATATATACATGTACATATATACAGTATATATATATATATAGTATATATGTATACATATATATATAGTGTATATTTATAGATGTTAAGATTTGTACTCTTTTATGCCTATATACTGTATATATATATATATATACAGTATATATATACAGTATATTAGTCTCTAACTTAATGTCAAAATAACCTACATAATATTTTACTAACGTTTATCTTCTTTCAAGGTTTGGCAAAAAGGTAGAACAATGCAAAAGTTGGACTGAAAGCCCGGCACAACAAATCGATTTTGTTTTCAACGTTTTCTTCACATTTTATTTTATTATTCGGGTAAGACATACCTGACATTAGAAACAAAAGCTATACAATTTCTTTAATAGTAAACTTCCTTGTAGGATATTTAAATACGAATGCCAAAAATTATTTATCAATATTACTCTCCTACCTTTACCTACTAAAAAAAACGACTCTCGTATCTTAAAATATCAAATCAAAAAGTTATTTTACTCACTTATTGCACGTCAATAAGTGAAAATAAACTTGACACTCTTTAGTTTATCCTAAAAAAGGAATAACATCTGCATGCACTATGACTTGGTGTGAATTCGTGGAAAGATTCACAAGAAAATGTATAATTCAAAGTCATTCCTCTATTGAATAGTTCTAAACTATGAAAAAAACATATCTTAGTATAGCCTTTAGCGGTTGTTTTTATCTCAATATATTTCATATATCCGTATATTATCCATTCACTTAGCCTATACTGTTCTTAACTGGGAATGCAGAGCCAATCAGGAAGCGAATTAGATGTAATTCTCGTCAAATTACATACAGTATTTTTGGCATCGCATTACCTGTGTATATCTCTGCTATAGGTTTATCTATAATACTTCTTTTTTTTCAGTTTACGGCTGCGAATGATAAACTGATATTCTGGCTGGAAATGCACTCAATTGTTGACTACTTTACTATTCTACCTGCTTATATGGCAATATACTTAGGTAGACAGTGGCTAGGTAAACACTGATTTTTAAAATTCATAAAATGAAGGGTGAGAATATTAATTTTAAAACTAAAACTAGAAGATAAAGATTAAAAAATCTGATAACGAATTAACGTTAGATTATTGATGTAGCTCTTTTTAATAACTGAATAATCATTAAAAGATGAACCACTATCATTTTTTATCAAGTACAGATTTCTAATTGAAAAAGTACAATTAAATCTCTTTTCCCGGAAAGAGTTTATTTTATAATTAGTTGAAATACTTGAAATATATATTAATTAGACAAAAGAGAGAAAGGGATAGAGAGAAAAGACAGAGAGAGAGAGAGAGAGAGAGAGAGAGAAAGAAATAGAAAAGAAGGAAGCATAAATATACAAACATATACAATACAAGTACATTATTATCTATATATAATTTTAACGAAAGTGGTCTTGCTTTCTTAAATTTTAATATAAAAAATACTATTTATCTATAGATGAACTATATCTCCAATTAATTTATTTATATTTAATATTAAAAAAAGGATAGAGCTAACACTTAATGCCAGGTAGCTAGGTATTACTTTCCGCTTACATTACTTTTTTAAATTACAACCCTTATGTGGGATTAATAACATTTTACCCCTGTCAATCAGGCTAGTTTTTTTTACTTATAAAGCTATAAATGTAAATATATATATATATATATATATATATATATATATATATATATATAGAGAGAGAGAGAGAGCATATATTAAATTTAACAGTATGTACTTTATTTGACAATAAGTCCCTGTTATTCTTATTGACAGAATTTCATTGCAGTTATATAAAAATATAAAATATAAAGAGATTCTTATCACTTTAAGCTTTAGTTGCAATTTTCTTATGTAAAATCACCGATAGAACTATAGTACTTTGCTATTCTTCCTTGTTATGGTACTAGGAAAAAAATAAAAGCTTCAAAGTCGAGAATAAATATCTTACAATCTATCTATCTAGCTTGCTAGGCATCTCTCTTTACTCTTTATGTATGTATTTATCACCATTTCGTTCCCTTTTTTGTGTATTTCTGCACCTAATTTGAATAGTGAAGTGTGTAAGAATAGTAGTAGATAGAGTATGCCTTAATTATCATTAATCGAACAATCTTGCTCACCAGTAAAGTAACAAAAAGTCTCTCTTTCTTTCATTTAAATTGATAGAAGATAGGATAGCAGTAAAATTCGGTTATTTAGTTTCTTCTTTTTGAATTTGCCAATTGAATAAGAAATTTAATTAGCATAAATAAACTTATTAGTAAAACTTTAAAATTGAATAATTTTACTTAATTACGTGTAAAGAAAGCTATTTATTTGTTAAATATATAGAGCTATTATTAAGTATGTATATATAGGCAATTATTCTGTTTAGTAGCATATTACTGTCGCTATTTAAGTAAAATTTTGATTTGTTCATCAGTAAACCAGTTAATTCGGTATAAAAACCTTAGTGAAATATATGCAGTAGCTGTGATCTAAAACTCATGTCAACACGGCAGTCTCATTAATTCTCGCCCTTCATCGACCTAATTTTATTTATCTTGAAAAGATGGACGAAAGGAGCTTAATGTAACATACACTCAGAATGTATCATATATACTATATATATATATATATGTATATAGGTTATTTATAGTCCAAATTGATATTGTATATTTATATTGTATAAGAAGATTTGGGATTGGGGGGGAAAAAGTAATAAAAGTTAACCTTTCGCAATAGAGTATAACCCCTAAGAAATAATAATAAGAGATATGAAAATGAATAAGATTTTCTTATCCCTTTAAAAGAACTTTGACAGATAGGAAAATTTAAATTATCAAGATTCTAAATTAAATTTCATCATGAAATATTGATAGTCAAAGACTAAGTAGTCAATGATTTCTAGTCCACAATAGATAATTATTAAAATACACGCAAGAATATGAAAACTGGTAAAATTAACTTTTAAGGTATTCTTTCAACTTTTAAAAGACCATTAATTACGTAATTAAATATGTGAAAATTTGTTGAAAAGGTTATCTCTTTTCTCCTTCAAGTAAATTTTCCTTTCTTAATCCATCTTTTCCGAAATTCATTTTATTTAATAGAAAAAAAACAGAGGGAAATCATTTGTGGATGGAATATTTTCGCTTATTCAATAAAGCATATTGTATTATCTATTAAATATAATAAGCTCTACGTGTGTATTTCACTATAAAATTTATTAAGGTATATATATAATACCTGTCTCAGGTAATTCTAATATCCGTTCTATCCCTGATTTCCCTCTAATTTAAGCATTACGAATAAGATTATTTCTGACCAAAACAGGCTTTCGTTTCCTGAGAGCCCTGCGCCTAATTTCCTTTCCCGATATCCTGCAGTATTTAAGTTTGTTACGGACAAGCAACAAAATCCGGTTAGCTCAATTACTTAGCATGTTTTTCGGAGTTTGGTTGGCTGCAGCTGGCTTTGTTCATTTGGTGGAAAATTCAGGTGATCCATTCCATGATTGGAAAAATTCGCAGTATTTAAGTTACTGGGACTGTCTCTATTTTTTGATGGTGACAATGTCTACAGTTGGCTATGGCGACATATATTGTGTTACAGACATTGGCCGAACTTTTATAGTTTTTTTCTTACTTTTTGCTTTGGCTATATTTGCTAGTAGTGTTCCGGAAATTTTGGATATTGTTGGAAAGCATCCCAGATATGGAGGAACTTATGAAAAACCAGCTGGTGTTAGGTAGGACAGTATTAATTCACTTTATTTAATTCTCTCCTCCTCTCACAACAAAGAGAACTTTAAAGTATTTAATTTGCCCAGAGGGATTTGCACAAAATAACATTATTAATTGACCTAAATAACACCAACAGCCACCAATTATAGTTTCCCTTCGACGTCCTCAAGCCTAGACCGCTCAAAAAAACTCTTTTCTAAACAAGGGGGTAATAGCTCTTGGAAATAACCGCTAAATGTCTTTAATAACTGCTGTAAGTTATATGAGAGTGCATTTTCCGATTTCGGTTAAAAAGGAGAAAGAATGAAAAGAAGAGTAAAAAAAAACACTTTATGTAATTGTATTGCGTGCTAAAGTGTTATGATTTCACAAGAGAAAAACTTGAAAACAAACTAACCGAACTAGTTGACGTATATATATATATATTGTCCCATAAAGCGAATTTAGAGGAAATAGGTACTTGAATAAAAAAGGAAGAGTACATGATAGCTAAGATTTTACGTATTAAATTATACAGTGTAAACAAGTAGAGGGACTGATAAGCTAATACATTATCTAAAGTTTATATAGTATATTGATGAAAGTGGCTGTTCACTAAAGACCTATGTCGTATAACTTAATTTATAATGTATATATATATATATATATATATATATATATAGATACATGTATATGTCTAAGTAAACTTATTTACTTAGATATAAAAGAATCCATTTTGGGTGAATAAAATAACTAAAAATTTTAGATGAAGACACTCTTACAAGAGTATTTGGATGTATTATTTGAAGTAGTAATACGTCTTAGCTTGAGGAGAATATTTCATTCATCCAGAAAGAAATTTTCTTATAGATATTTTCAGCATGAAGTAATTTAATATTATACTATACAGTATACCATTTAATTTTTCCTCAAAACTATTAATAATTACTATGTAATCTACATTGTAAAAAAAGAAAACTCTAATAACTTATTAATACTACATAGTTTAACTAGTATTTTATTTATTTTATAATAAAAAGTATTTAGTAATTAATTTTTTTTTTAATTTTGATAAAACTTATAAAGAAAAGAGAAGAAAAAAATAGTAATTACTCTTTTATAGTACTTTTCATTTTTTAAGTAGGGAAACCTTCTCTAAGATTTTTTTTTTCTTTATTATTTTTGATTAGAAGGGGAAAAAAATATCTACTAGTATAAAAAAAACACTTATTAATTTTAATAAATATGAACATTCACCAATCTATCCTTCGTCACCTCTTACCCTTACAGACATATAGTTGTTACCGGACATATCAGCTACGAATCTGTTAAGAACTTTTTAAGAGACTTCTTACACGAAGATCGAGAGAATAAGAATGTTAAGTGTTTGTTTTTGGATAGGTAAATAACTTCTTTTATTTTATCTTATATCTATAGATAATTCTAGAGAAATTGGTTAATGTTTTTTTCTTACGGCGGAAGGCAATATACTTTGGCTTAAAATACATGCCATACTAACCTATACTTAATAACTTAATTATACATTCTAATCTACTGACCATCCGGTTGTCTCTATAAGAAATAACGATTTACACTACTCAGTACATAATGTATAGTCAGTAACTAAAGATTTAGTTTACATAAAAAAAATAAGGAGACGTAAAACTTATACTTTATTCTTAGAATAAGGAGAGGATTGCAATCATATCATTTACTATATCAAACAAACATAATCAGCCATTCCTGGAACATGCAGTGAATATACCCATATGTACGGTTTATATATATATATATATATATATATATATTGTATTAATAGAACTCCTAATGAATTAAGGAATAACAGTTTAAATACAAGTTACAACTTTAAAATTCTCTATTTAAATCAAACTTGTCTCTGCGTTAAATATAGAATTTATATCTATTTTCATTACTTACTACTTGGAACGGTACGAAGGTATTTTTTCTTCTATTTTATATCTTCTAGTAGAATGATCAATTTCTTTTAATGGGTTAATTATTTGAAAGCTTTTGAAACTATTAGTTTCTATTCTCTCTTTTCAGTAAAAATCCAGACTTAGAACTAGAAGCGCTCTTCAAAAGACATTTCACACAAGTCTGCTTTTTTAAGGGCAGCCCTTTGAACACTAACGACTTGGAGAGAGTCAAAGTAAGCGTTTATTGACCTTTTCCTCGGTTTCCTAATCATCCCTCATCTTTACAGCTAAAATTAGCTGATGCCTTTTTAGTCGTGGCTGATCCGAGAGCTTCGGATCCGGATGCGGAAGATGCAGCGAATATCATGAGGGTTATATCAGCTAAAAATTATCATAGTGATATCAGGATCATAATTCAGCTTATGAGATTTCATAATAAAGCTTTCCTCGTGAACTTGCCTTCATGGATGGCTCAGGATCAAATTATATGCTTGGCAGAGATGAAATTGGGTTTCATGGCACAAAGTTGTTTGGCTCCCGGTTTTTCTACTTTGATGGCAAATCTTTTTGCTATGAGAAGCTATAAGAAGGTTTGTTCTCTTTCTTACCCCTTAGTTTTTATGGGCTTTGATTCAAATATAAAAACGAAAGAAAGAGTAGAGAAGAGTAACTGACAGCAAGAGGGAGGGAGAAAGAAAGAGAGTGAGAGAGAGAGTGTGTGTGAAAGTGGAAGATTTTCGTAGTCAGTAATCGAAAGAGAGAGTAATTGAATGAACGAATGAATGAATTAAAGTAACCCTATAGTAAAAATGATAGTAAACGAAGGAATTGGAAGAGAAACAAGGATATACTTAAAAATATAACTTTAATGGTGGATTTTTACAAAAAAGAAAGAGAAAATTAAATGTACAGGTCCTTCAAAATAATTTATCTCAAAAAAACTTAAAAGATTTTCATCTATCTTTTTTTTCCCTCCTCTTTGTCTTCCTAATTATATTTTAAAAGCTTCAAGAAAAGCAGCTAGTCAAGGTAACAGTAAAGTAACTAACCGAAAATTTTCATTTTTTTTCACTAAGTGTCAATTAATCGAGGCTTTGATCATTGGTATATTTTGACTGCAATTATATTAATTTCTCTTAAAACACACTAATTACGTGGCTTTCAATCTGAGAAGCAAAACATTTTCATTGTTTTCTTTATTATTATTATTTTATTTTCATTATTATTACTTTATTAACATCAACAGTAGATTAGAATTTTAAAATAGATAGTATCTTTTAGGTGTTATCTGATTTTCCTTTTTCAATAAAAAGAGAAAAGAAAAATACCATTAGGAGTGGTACCAGTGGGACGATATTAAGAAAAGATAATGGTACCCTATGCTTGTTTGTAAATAGAATATATACAATATAATACACTTAAAATTCTTATTTATATTTAACAACTCAATATTGTTTCTAGAAGTTTTCCTATTCTTGGGAAAAATATAAACTAAACAGATAGAATAGTATATCTTTTACAATATTTGTAATTTGTATCTAATGTAGTATTCTATTTGTTTAGTTTCTTCCCCTTTTCTCTTCTCTTTTTACATAACCTAAACTCATTGTTAAGACTTTGGGAAACCTTTGCCATTTGCTTCAAAGTTACTATGTAGTCTTAAAACCATTATATTGTAAAGCCATATAAAGTTTCTTAGAACTGTTCTTTTTCATACTACAACACCTGATATATAAAATAACGAAAGAAAACTAACGATAGTAAAAAGACCAATTGAACAGCTACTATATTTTCCAGGAACAACGAATATTTAACGTATTCATTGGGTCAGCTTTTTATTATAAGAGTTGTACAGGAGCCGTCGAGTACAAAAAGAATTTACGAAAGGCTTTCGTATTTTTTTTTTTATAAAAATTCCATAATTAGACAAAAATATCGATAACTTTAATGTTTTCTAAGGCTTCTATAAAATTCCAGTATAATTGCTGTAATTTTCACTTTTATATATACTGCAATTATATAGTTTTTTCATATTAAAGAAAACGAATTAGTTGTCTTCTTTGTACTTTTTTTTTTAATAACTTATCAATTTAAGCTATATAGATTTAAATTATTATGGAAGATTTTATCATTTCATTCTAGTATCCTTTCTCTTGAGCCCATCCTATCTCATTCCATTTCTGCCTTTCTATATATATATATATATATATCTATATATATCTTTTCTTTTTTCTCTTTTTTGAACATTAATCATTTATAAAATTAAATCAATGGCGATTAAACTAAGAGTGAGAGAAAGATGAACGATAGGTGAGCCAAAAGAGGATACAGTTTGCTTTTTTTTCCGTTACCTTTTCCTTATTTTTTTCACTATTGTTATTTAAAATGGTTGTAAATTTGTTGAGCTTTTACGATTTCTTTGTACGATGTTTGTTAATAAATAACAAACAAACAGAAGAATATTCCCTAAATGTCTACATTTTTGATTCGTGGAGAAAATGATAAGCGAAGTGAAAACGTGATATATTCAAATTGTTTCTTCCTTTACAGTCGGAAAAAGCTGCTAAATGGCAAGACGATTATCTTCGAGGAGCTGGTATGGAAATGTATTCTAGCTACCTATCCGAAGCCCTGCACGGCCATACTTTCCCTCAGGCAGTCGAGTAAGTGATTAAAGCCAAAAACACGATGATTAATTGTCTGGAAAATTACAATCGAGGACAGCGCTTTATTTTTTTCATAACATCTATTAGATCCCAACCGCTTAGTAGTCATATAGTAATATATAAAAAATTGCATTTATCCATCCATCTCTAGGCTATAAACATAAATATATATACTGTATAGATAGTATATTTACATAGATAGACTCTAAAATCACTATCTATTTATATAAAAGATGTTCATCACTATAGATTGACATTTTACCCAAAATAATCAGTAAGTTTGAGTAGCAAGGAAGTTCCTACTTCTATTTTGTAGTTAAGATAGTATGATAGAACAATTTGAAAATGATGTTACAGTAAGATTTACTAATGAATAAGGGAAATTTCAGTCGTAATTTATCAGAGCAACGAGTGATCATTATTACTGTACAGGGAATAGAAGGCGACTGCATACAGTACAACGCTTGTTTTAAATACCTTTTATATAATAGTAAATTGGAAACTAGTCTACAAAATTTCTTTTTTATAACGAATGTCAAGTGATTCTTTATTAAAAGGCTCAGACATTTAATTTTCTATCCTTTGTTTTTTTTTCCATATTACAACAAATTTTCCTATTCTTTGGTTTTTGTTTTTATTTTTATGCAGACTAAGCAAATTCTATGCTCGTAAAAAATTCCGAAAGCATAACCTTATATTTTTAAACAGTATATATAAATATATATAATGTATAGAGAAAGAGAGAGAGAGAGAGAGAGAGAGAGAGAGAGAGGGAAAGAAACGAAAGGGTAGCGAAAGAATAGCATTTCCCAATAGAATAAAAGGTTAAAACACGAAAGATGTTGTTAATAAGAGACTTGAATGCTTATTCAAACAAGCATCGTATTCAGAAATAATTTAATCAATCTTTAAAATGAAAAACTAATATATTGTCTAAATATATATATACTATATATATATATATTTATATATATATATAGGTACATCTCTAATTTGGTTTCCTACTTTCTTCCATTTTGATTGATTAGTTTTCTTATGCCAAATTTATATCTTTAAAAGGTACAATATAAAACATTGTTTGGTTAAGAAAAATGAAAGTAATAAATTCTTTTTCCTTTATTTTTTTTGTTTCCTTCTCTCTCTCTCTCTCTTTCTCTCTTCTTTCTGATTTCTATATTCGAAAAAATATACAAGGAAAAATGATTTTCTACGTTTCTTTTTCTTTGCTTCATTTCGTCTACCCTTCTCTCTCTCTCTCTTTCTCTCTCTCTCTACTTCTTTTGTTTCTCACTAGTTTTTTATTATTCTTAAACTAATGAAAATGTGAAAAAAGAGAAATAAAATAAATGATGATATGCTAAAGAGCATACTGTCTTACGCATTCTTCACTCTCTGCATATAAATGAGAACAAGATATGGCAATTGCAAAGAAATTGAAACCTTGAGTAAATTAGAAGTCTAGAACAGAAAGTGCACGTGATATTCATGTTTAAATACCTTGAAAACAATCGAAGCTATACTCCTCTCTCAATTAATAGCCTTTTAGAATGTTTCAATTCTATTCGATTATCGTTAAAAAATTTGCTCAAGTACTCAATTAAATCTAATACCTGATATTTTAATATTAAGATAGGCTAATAAAATGATAGCAACGCTATCTCATTAAATATTTACTTTTAATATATTCCTTTGTCTTTTTTTGTTCTTTTCGATAAATAGAATCTGCTTTTGCAAGTTGAAACTTTTATTAATCGCCATATCTGTTTATTCGGAAGATGGAGAAGATTATCAAGTTGTGTTAAATGCAGGAATAGATTATATTATAGACAGAGATACTAAAGCTTTTTTCATATGTGAATCGGAAGAGGAAGTTAAACGGTTAGTATAATTAAATAATAGACAGAGAGAATCTTTATAGAATTGTACTGGTTTATTAAAAATAGAGCTCAAAATTTCTGCAAGCATTGTCATTGGTATGAGAAAAACATTCGAAAAATTGTTAAATGCAATTGCTCCAAGCAAGGTGAGCTTTGCATAAATTATATTCCATGATAAAATTCTTTTAAAAAAAAACCGATCGAAAATGCAGATAAATCGACAATTCCAGTAGCAACTTGTAAACAACAAGATTCTCCTTCTACGACACCAACATCTGATAAGTCAGCTGATGATGTTCTACCAAATCCATACTGCAGACGTATTCAAATCGATATCACCAATCATTCGCGTTCGAATAGTCAGAGTCCGACTTCACCTGATGCCCCCGAAGTTTTCAAGTAATTAAATTGTTTGTTACATGCTGGGTGGTTTTCCTTCTTTCGCCCTTTGCCGTCTTTCAAATATGAGGAAACCCTCCGAATGAGGACGCTTACTAATCAACCAAGCCCCTTTAGTGAAATACTGTTAATTAACAAAAATTACACTTCTTTCAACTATTTTCGTTCTATAATGAATTTTGAAGAAGATGACGCATTTCTCTATATAATGCCATTAAACGCTGAACGCCGTAGCAAATTTTCCCTCCTTTAATATTAACTTATTACTGGACAAAGTTAACTTAATCAATTATCATTTAATTACCTTCTTTTCAGTTAACTTTAAATCTTATCTTGAAAGGGAATTGTGGTAAATTTTATTGATAATATTTCCCTTTGATGAATGAAATTCTGTATTTAACATAGTTTTTATCAGCGAAATGAGAAACTTTGCCTCTAAAAATAGAATATTTGCACCAAGAGAAACTCACTCTCTCTTTCTCTCTCTTTTTCACTCATATTTATCGGAAAAATAGGGAAAAATTAAGTCTTTCTTCCCACTTTTCCCGCCACCCGTCGTTTTATATACCATAATAACTTAACGCCATCTATTAGAATTGATAACATAATGAAAGAAAGCGTTAATTGTTAGAGCCATTAATTTCTCATTACTGGTAATCGTTTTTATTCCTATTCCAGTTCGACATTGAATACAAAGAGTTTATCTGCAATTGTTCCACATGTCCTTGCTCAAAAACGCCAACAACAAGAAGAAAGGAAAATGATTAAATGCGTTGAACATTTTGATTCAACCGGCTTATTTCATTGGTGTGATGAAAGAAAGTTCGAAGAGGCCGTTCTGGTAATAAATTCTCGTAACTCTTTCGATTTTCTCCTATCATTTGTTCCTTTCATTTTTTTTTCTAGTCTCATAGAAAGAATAGAGATTTACTTAAGAAGTTGAACAAACATATAGTTGTTTGCTTGTTTGGCGATCACAAATCACCATTAATTGGTTTGTGCAATTTCGTCATGCCGCTCAGGGCTAGCAGCTTTAAGTTGGACGATGTGAAGACTATTGTATTTGTTGGTAATGAAGAGTATTTAAGAAAAGAATGGCATTCCTTGGAAAATTTTCCCGACGTTTATGTAAAACCGGTAAGAAAAAAAATCCTTGCTCAATTCAATTATCCTGTATTAGCAATAATAGATACTCTTCTCTCTTTTCAGGGTTCACCTTTAAATAGAGCTGATTTAAGAACTATTAAGATAAACCAGTGCCATATGTGTGTAATATTAACAGCTAGCGATTGTCGATCGGACGATATAACCCTGGTCGACAAAGAAGCTATCCTTTGTTCTTTGAACATAAAGACGATGACATTTCAAAATGTTGCCGATGTTTGGAAATGCGCATCTCCCCGCCGAACCTTGGCAACTTTGGCCTTGCTTCGAGGTTTGTTTTATTTATAAAATATAAGAAAATATAAAGAAAACTAATAAACATTTCTTTTTAATAAGTATATACCAAATTGATACTTGTGTATATAAGGCATTGAGTATGAATTTACTTACTCTCTGTTAAATCTATGAGAATATATATATATATATATATATATATATATATATTATTTATATATATATCTGACAGTTCATAAGAAATTTAACAATGAAGAAGAGGAAATTGAAAAGTTCGTAAAGCGGAAAATCAGTGGCTATATTAGTAAAACTAGTAATAGAAAAATAACAAAGTCGATAAGCGATGAGTTTTCAAACATTGTTAAGGAAAAGTGTAATCGAATTGCAGGTTGATAGTAAGAGAGATAGAAAGAAAGAGAGAGAGAGAAAAAAAGGAAGAAAATAATAAAAAAAAAACACTTGAAAAAAAAATATTTCTTTCTCTTTTTTTCTTTTGTTTGCTAAAAATCAACTAATAAATCACAGATTTTACCGCATTAACAAGTCTTTTTTAGCCTTTTTTTCCGTGCTTTTTCCGTTTTTAAATTACTTTTTTCTCCTAATCCTATTCATATTCTTTCATTTTCTGTTCGATTGTAGACGCCAGAAGCCTGACGCATCGACCTACAACCGGGGCTTGCATTCCTATGATTACCGAGCTCGGTAAAGAAAATAGACATATACATATAATTAACTTTTTACACCTTTCTGGTTTAGGCTCTTTAGTTTATTAATCAATTTTTTTTAACAGATAACGATATAAATGCTCAATTTTTGGACCAAGATGACGAAGATGACCCAGAGATGCCGCTTTATATGACTCAGCCTTTTGCGTGCGGAAGAGCCTTCGCTGCATCGGTTTTAGACTCGTTAATGAGTACAGTTAGTAGGCGTACTCTCTCACTCTTGATTAAGAGAATGATAATCATAAATTAAATCTTTATTTAGATGTTTTTTAATCCGGACGCAATGCACATAATTAGGTCATTGATAACTGGAGGTGCGACCAATGAATTTGATCATATAATGGCGGAAGGAGTCGGAGTCGTTAAAGGAGACTCTTCTAACGATTCTATTTTAACGAGAGATAGATGTAGAGTTGCTCAATTGACTCTGGAGGACAGCTACTTGGAACGCTATAGCTATAGCTCTTATGGAACTCTGTTTATCAAGGCTCTTCGCCATTATGGAATTCTTTGTTTAGGTCTTTATAGGCAGATAGATCCTCGACCCTCAGCCGGATCATACAATAGATGCGTAGTGACAAATCCTCCCTCTGATTTTGCTTTATATCCGTCCGATAAGGTTCTATATTTTCAATATCCAAATTAAAAAAAATAGTCTAAATAAATCTTTTGCCTCTTTCATTCTCGTATTTTAGGTTTTTTGCCTACTTCCTTACGAAACTAATAAAGATAATGCGAAGAAAGAAATTCGAAAAGAGTCTAACGACGAGATTGAATCAACCCAGTTATAAACGTTTCTTTATTCTTGTTTATATTTCTTTTCTTTTCCTTTCTTTTTGTTTTTTTTCTACAAATAACTGTTGTGGTGCTTCCAAAAAAAAGAGTAAAAAAAACATTATGTTAGTTAAGAAGAACAACGTTTAGCTGGCCTAAGGTTTTATTGAAATGTATGTATTCGTATAAATCTCTCTATGTATATCTATACTGTATATCTAGAGAGTATATGTATATTTGTATATAACTTTTGTAAGCAAAACAACGATTAATAAACAACGAAAATTCTGATTGTTAATTATGATTTTTCTATAGTTGAAAAATAAATAACCAAGAAAAAAAAAGATATTAAATTAATATTTCTTCTTTTTCATTAGTCTTTTTTTCTTTTTTATTAATTTCTGTCACTTTTTCAGTTTGTTGTTAAAGGAAGTATTTAATAGAAGAAGAAAAAGACAATGATAAAAGGAGGGGAAGAAGATGAATTTAATTAAATAAAGAAGAATGAAAAACATATAATAACAATAATAATAATAAAAAGGAATTAACTATTTTTCTCGATTATATTTTCTCATTGCTATACAAAAACGTTGCCTTTTCAACTTAACTGTCACCAATAGGCCTAAAAATGCATAAATATAGAATAATTTTGTCAAACGCCTTCGGTTTTTATTATTACTGTAGGATAGTCTCTTTTTAAAGCTTACTGCATACTGTATACAGTATATATATATATTCTTTCATTAAAAGGCATTTTGATGAGAATAAAGTCAACGACAGAAATAACAACCAGAAGCAATATTTCTCTATCAATAACTTTTAGAGTTTTCTTTTCAACATTCAATAAAATAAGCCTATATATTAAACTTAACAATTGTGTTGAATGATTACTGTCTTAAATAGGTATAATTTCTCTATTCGTTTACCAATAGACAGATACAAGCATCGTTTGAATAATAATAGAAAAGAAATTCAATACTGTAAATATAGCTATTTTATGAATAGAATAAAGCCTAATGTAGAATTTTTATATAAAGTGATAATTAACTTATCTTCTTAAAGATTATTCTTATTACTTGGTAATTTTTGTTGCGGGGCAATTTATATAATGAATGGTAACATTATTTTATAATAGAATATATAGAATAGACACTTTTTCTTCAATTTCCATGTTTATCAAATATAACAATAACTACTGTCTTCGGTGCATTGTGTTGTATATACAGAATATACAGTATATATATATATATATATATATATAATATATGCGCCATATTACTCTGTCATTCTTTCTTTTGCAAATGACATTTTTTAGACGAAGGAACACTTCGTTTCCCACTTTAATTTCCACTTATTGAAAGCAAACGGTATGAAACTTGTAAATGATAGAATGCTATATTCTTATTCTATAATTATCTTATAGAAAGAATTATTCCTCGAATTCCTCTCTAACATTTCCTATTCAATTATTTCCATTGAATGACTCTTGAAATTTAATTTATTCCTTTATCATCAACATTTTTATTACATCGACTTTTTATTTATTAATACATTCAAATCATCGACTTTACAATATACACACATTTCTATAAATATATCTTTCTCTTAGACAACAGATGGCGATACGGTATAACAAAGTATTTGACGAGATTAGCAACCTTGGTTATAATTTATACATAATTTGTAAGGGGAAAACTAATCTCATGGTTTAAATTAATTTTTAAATCAAGCGACTATTGGCTTTCAAAGAAAAAAATAGCTGTAAAATTTATTAATACAAGTCTAAAAGGAAAACTTTAATATAAAGATTAAAGGATTGGGAAAAATGGCTATGAAAAGTTGAATCGATCACAGCTGATCGAAACATAACTAATGATCTCGCAAGATTTTTATTTATGGCTGACAGTTTCCATTCCAATACGGTCGAAGAAAGGTCAAAATAAATGTTACGTGATTTAGAGTAAATCATAAAAGACTAAAGAGATTCTTATAGCAATTGTATTGGTGATATTAGAAACTTTTTGAATGGTTAATAAGGTAAAATAGAATAAAGAGAACAAAGATAGTTTAATTAAAAAATGAAGAGAGAAGAGAAACATATGGAAAAATAAGAAAGTAAAGGAAAAGTTAATAAATTGAAAACAAACTTTCTCTTCTTTTCTATTTTACTACAAAAGTAAAAGTACTTTGGAAATTAAAAGGTTAAACTGAAAAATGGCGATCGAAACAGGTGAACAAACAGATCAAACTCTTCCGCCTTGCATTTTCAGCCTAATCTAACCCTTTAACTGATTAAATCAATCGATTGAAGAGTTTATTTTGGCATGATTACTTTCCTTATCTAGAGAGCGTCATTGGAGCGTTGAGGTCAAAAATGACGATAACTTTTTTTTTGATATTGGCCAAACAAAAATATCAATTAACTAATTTAATAGTAATAACAATAATAGTAATAATCATAATAATAACATTAAATGGTAATAATCTTAATCTCAATAATGAAAATAAATCCTTAATAATAATATCAAGAGCTTATACCTAAAAATATCGCCAGAATAAGGCATTTCTAACTAAAGACTAGCTAAGGTGGTAGGAAATGAGAATATATCTATACTGTATATATATATATATATATATACTGTATAGTATATTTAAATAAATAAATAGAATAGCTATATGATATTTTTTTTTTTGTATGGAACAAAAAAAATATTCTTTATCTAGTTCGAATAGTACAATTATTCTATACACGTACGATAGTCGCGTAGATTTCGTTTACATACGGATTATAGAATTTCGCCTCAAGTTGCGGATGTTCGATTTAATTAGGCCTAATTAGAAAGGGTAGTTTGTTTTAGTATTTAGAAATTCAATAGTAACATATTGTACATGCTCAGTTTTTATATAAATTTATACATAGACACTCAGTATAGAGTATAGTTAGTGTATATGTATAATAAATAATAAGTATCTTTGATGTATACAATATATATAAATATTTCTAAATTTTCTAAAGTAGACGATTTACAAGCTAAAGGGAAATCTCTTTATATTCATACAGTGAGTGTACGTGCCGTATATAAATTTATAGATAAATTCCAACTAAATACGAGTTTATTAATAATAAATAAGTCTTTTATTTCTGAATATCTTGACCTATCTTATCCGTAAGATATTGCTAATAGTTTCTAATCGGATATTTTCAAGATTATTAAGGATTACTGTTTTTCTAAGGCGATAGATAGTATACTACAAAGAGGTAAATTCTAAAGGATAAACATATTTAAATAAGCAATTGTTATAATATGCTAATGAAAGAAAATAATATATACTAATTTGACCTTGCTTTGATGTTAAAAATAGGATGTGTTTTATTTTATTACTAGAAATTAATCCTATGCGAAAAAGTCATAAAAACTTTATTATTAATAGATTGTTATCCTATTCTTCTTCTGTTTTTATTTTCTATAGTAATCAACAATTTTTAATTTTTAGCTATGATTTAACTTGAATAGTTTTGTTCTTATCAAATTTCGTGGGAACGAAAGTGCCGAAATTTTATTATAAAGTCCTATAATTTTAAAAAAAAATGATAGCTAATCAATTTATGCCTTTTATTATAGTTGAACTTGTACTTATTTTCGGTAGCATGTGACATAATTGTGAACTATGCTACAATCTTTAAATTGTAAACATGTTACATTATGTACTTTTATCAGCTGCTACTTAAAATAAGCCTATGAAGATTGAATTCTTTTTTAAAATACTCCCTCTTTTCTCCATATATACAGATTATTCTTTTCACTGCCTCCAGTCAGATAAAGTAGTTAATCTCCCCCATCTAGAGTGCTTCGTTTACTACTACACATTCCCCCTCCACCCTCCCCCGCCCCCTCCTATCAGTTTCTCTCTATACAAAATGGTATTAATTAAGAGAGGAAAATAAACTTCAACTAGAAAAAAAAACGACTAACACTATTTTTCTGTTCGATTGTAAAAAAATCAATAATAAGCCTGGTCGTTAATACAAGCTTCTTTCAATTTTTTATTTTCAATACCTTTATAAAAAATTAAGCAGAAGTTGTAAATTGAGAATCAGTATTTCTTGGGAAATAGTAATTAATCATACTTTTGTTTTCTTTATTTTGTCTTTTAATTTCCTTTCTAAATGAAATAAAAATATACATTCAAATGTTTTCTATTCATTAAACGATAATAAATATTTAAAAATAGATTAAGTATTATACTTTTATTTTATTAGACTTTTTTTTTCTTCTTCTTCTTCTCTCTCTTTTCATTTAAATAGCAAAATATAAATACTTACTCAATCTTTGTTTTATATAGATAATCTGATAACGAAAGATCATGATTGAATATAAAAATACATTACGCATATAAATAGTTTATCCATTAATACTATATATATTTGAAATATTTTACTAGCAAGGTCACTTTTAAATTGTTTAATTTAAAAAATATTATCTTATCGCTCGCATATGAACTGTGATTAACAGTTATTTTCTCATTCTAAAACTCTTATATTAGATAAAATATATTGTATAAGCTTTCAAAACGACATTGCTATATTATTTGTATATACAACCACAAGATGTCATATAAACTACTCTTTTAGAATGAAATCATTTATATTACTCTCTAACTTTTAACAGACTAAGAAAGAGTTTTAAAAGCGTATATCTGACATTACTTTTGTATTAAATTCATGACAATTCACACGCAAAGGTAACTTAATGTTTGTCTTCTATTTTCCCTCTTTTGTATTAAAGTAGAGCTAAATGTTTTATTTTTTTATTTTGTCGTTTCTTTTATTTGCTCGTTTAAAACAACGAAAAATATAAAGCCATAAAATATCCCATTAAAACCACCAAAGCCCCTAATCGTTCTATTCCAGAATTCGAACGCCCTCAAAGGCGTTGAAAGACGCCTGATTTGAATTGATAAAAGAGAGTTCTCCGTAAGAAAATTCTATTTCTAAGCTTCAAGAAACATTAAGCTTGAAGTAAGTTTAATGTTTTAAAATTTCTTTATATTTTATTCAATAATCCATTTTTTACGCAATCAGAAGCTAAAGCGTCTCCACTAATTTATCGATTCATTTTTCCCTACTAAGAACGTCTAACTTATCTAGAGGGATTCTCTTTTTTATTGAAGTAGGTCGTTGATGGAAGGGCATTATATTGAAATCAAATTTCCCAACATTTTAGCAAGAAACGCCTTATTTACATAACCTTTGGGAGCGTTACATTAGTGTTAGATGAAGTAGAAGAAGTAAAAAGAATAAAGAAGAAGTAACACGAGTATTTTAAATTGTGTAACAAAAACAACTGTCGGGTATGACTTCCTGACCCATTTATTTCACTTTGAATAAAGTTGAAAAAAAAACTAAATTGTCTTTCCTTTAATTTGTTTGTTTGGCTTTTGTTTGTTTGTTTTGTTGTTGCTGTTTTTTTTCTTTCATAATGAAAATCTAATACATTGCAGAGGATTATTCTACACATCGTGATAAAGTTTTTATTCCCATTCGCAGGGCTAGAAAACCGTGGGAGGGTTTTTTTTTAAAACAAAGAAAAGAAAAAAAAAACAATGGCACAAAAATAAAAATTAAAAAAAAATGATTAGTCCTTCATCACCCTTTTCAAGTTGAGGAACCTAAAGTCGCGTCACTTGGTGGCGCCTGCGTCTCCAATTTAGAGGTAGATTGGAATTGAAGGTTGTCTATCATGCAGGATTATCGCCGACTACGTCGACAGTTGCCTCCTCTAGCGATTCGTCCTTAGGCCTTAGGGAGATACATACATCCCCAATGTTTAAACCGTCGCACAATAGACCATAACGACGTAAGGTCGCTTGAGGATCGTGGGATGACCAGCCTTTTTTCAGCACAAAAAATGGATGTTCTATTGCCGCCAGTACTCTAACCTGTAGATTTATTCATCTAAAATTAGAAATGATAGCTATACGAATAATATGACCTAAGATCTCTTTATTAAAAAAACACTGTTCTCTTTTTTCACTGTATTGTACGTTATAAAAACCTGCAGTCGATCAGTTTTGAATTTCCGATTAACCTTGACCAAAATCTAATCTAGGATGATCGACCGTAGAACGAACTGAAATGACGTATATATTTTCAGGGGGACATCGGATAACTGCCCCAACGGATAGAAGAATAGAAAGAATTTTCTTCATTTTATCTTTTTGTTTTTTTTTCCATCTCTCCTTCATTTTTAATGAATTAATAATACAGTACTTAATTCTAATAAGATAATAAAAAGCTTACCTCAATCATACTCTTTCCTACCCCAAATACTAATTGGATGACATTAGATTGATGGACTCGTTCAATTTTTAAAAGTGTAGAAGTGTCTAGATGAAATTCGTTGGATAATTCTGCGCTCTTTCGTAAATCCTCTTCTCTTAAATCTTCTACCCGAGTCAGACTTCCGTCGGCTAATTCGATAATAGAACCCTTCCGAAAGTGAGCCGGATACAAATCAGTCGAATCATCATTTTGGACTGGCCTATGTACATTTCTATTAAGAGGAGGATGAGCCGGGACTGGATATGGTCTGTCTAATCGTCTATGAGCCGGGTTGACATAGCCGAGTAGATTCAGGTCGTTATAGAAGTGTGGTGGAACAATAGTTTGCAGGTAGTAATTTGGTATGGTCACGTGACAATCCGGGTTGCGGCGCATGTGCGAATCTGGCGTCCTTGTAGGTAACATAGGATTTCAGCGGGGCATGTCGCGTGGCCCAGCTAAAAGGATGAATAAAAACCTTTTTTAATCATACAAAATTCAATGGATTAGTTCTAGATAAAGAAAAGTTCCAAGAAATCTTTATCGACCTACTTTATGAACTTGGAACTTTTTTGTCTTGACATGTGGATAATCTCCCACAAGCATTATTGTTTAAAATTACTTTATTTACGTACTACTGTTTATATTATATTTATTGATTTACACCGCTTAATAACTTTACTAAAGATTTCCTAACAAAAAGAAAAGACTTTTTTTTTTCAACTACAAATATCAATCAATATTTCATAAATGATCAATTACATTGCACAACAATTTAGGGTATTAACCTCCCCTTAGTCCGAACAAATCTTTAGAAATCTAATCAGGCTACCTGGTTGAAACCTTAATTGAACAGGTAAAAGGAACTGACGTGTTCAATATTATAATAAGTTAATTTTTCATAGCAAATTTACACAAAAAAATGTCCATCGTATTAATTACAGAAAACAACATCTACTCGCTGCCTACTCAAGGTTACTGTTGAAGGTTAAAAATTAACTGTTCTTTATCGCTTTGCCCATTTATTTTCTGTCTTTTTTTTTTACCTTTATTAATTAATTTATAAAAGTTCTAACGAAATTAATTGTTTAAAGAGGACAGTATAGAAGCGATAGAAAGCTTTTATATATTAATTTATCTTGTTCCACCTTATCATTAGATGAAATACAAATAATAAAGTACCAAAATACAGTATGCTATTTATTATTCTATTTTTAATAGATATCTTATTCATAAAAAAAGTAGTACAAATGTAGGTTGAAAGTTTTTATTTTTTCGTTTTTCTTTTACATCTTTAGGAATCATAGTACAAGATAAAAATGCATTTTGATACAGTCAAAGATCAAAAGGACATGTAACTAGGAGAGAAAAAATTTGATATAAAAAAAAGAAGAAGAAAAGAACAGTTAATTATATAATATTCCCAATATGTAATATTCAAGATCTCTTATTCAAAATTTGAAAAGTAAATATAGAGCTATATTTTTGAATTAATATTATCTTTTGACAAATACCTTTTCTATTAACTCTACGCTATTCATTCGTATATCAATATAGATATATACATTTATTCGAAATAATGTTAATACCTTCGCTGTTCAGCGTCTATAAGCGTTTGTATCAGATTTTATGTAGGTAGTAACTATTAAAATACTCTTTTATAGGTCTTGAGATAAATATACTAAAAAATAAATTATACTATTGATAAGAGCAGATGTTACTTTTCAAAAACACAGATTTTTGCTTATCTCATATTTTCTTAACGGAATATTATCTCATTTAGTGATGTAATAATTTTAATAAAAATGTCCTTGTTTTATTGATCATTCTATGTGCAAACATAGGACGAAAGAGATTCTATTTCCCTTTTTTTTTCGTTGTTGTCCTATTGCGATTTTCCTATACAATTTCGCATAAGGAGAGAAAAAGAAAGAAAGAGCGCTGGTTTCTAATGAACATTCGAAATATGGTACAATTTCCATAAATGTAGCAGTAATTTACTATAATAAAGAGGTAGAAATTGACTTGATTTTAATATCGTGAGGCTCTTTGCTATGATTACCGTGGACGTGTTCCGTTGTTAATAATCATTATTTCATACGTGCCCCAAAAAAAGAACTTGTATATACTTTATCAGATAGTTATTGGTTAAAAAGATTAAAAGCGTATAATGATAAATTTACCGGCTATCAATCATACACAGAGAAACTTTGATAATAAGATGAAATTATGTAATCTTAAGCCCATTTAAGTCAATAATCTATTTATACGAAAATAAAAGTAAAATAGACAGAAATATAACAATTAAGAAAGTCGACAGCCATCAAAGAACAATTAAATGGCTTTTGATTGATTCGAACTCCTTAAAAAAATGAAATTATAGAAGAAAGTAGAACCTTATACGACAGAAATTACTGTATAAAAAGTGAATATTTATCAATCAATTTGTCGTTAAGTAACATCATTCAATCTTTTAATTCTTTCTTTCATTTATATAGTAAATTCTTATAAGAGAGTTAGCACCTTTTTATATATACATATACAATATATTCTCTCCTTAACTTTCGATTTAAACAAAATGTTAAAACTTTTAAAGAAGGATAAAAAAAACAAAAAGAAAAATATATAAAAAGGTTTTTTAGTGACGTCATCTATTTAAATTTCTTACAGATTTCTAAATCCATTTAGAAACTATCCAGAATTGAAGATAATCCTTGGCGTAAATGCTATAATTCAAAAACGTCAACGCCACAACTTACTGCCTTCAGTATTCTTAAAAGGTCGATCGAATATGTTCTATGAATCTTTGAAGGGTAAAAGCTTACGTATATCATTTATGGGCGTTTATAGGCATAGTATTCTCTTGACAACAATGCGCTTACCCTTGTTATTTACTAAGAAAGGTAGTTTTTTTTATATATTTATTTACAAGAAAATTTATCGAAATTCTCCAAACTTTCCCTCTTTCTCCGACTCTAATCCTATCCCACACACACACACATATACTTTATATATTGTACATATAGGTAGATAGCTAGACATACTCACGCACACACACACATACGTTTACATGCTAATATTTTCTCTTAGCCTAAAAATCCATACATATGTAGAGAGTATACATACCATACCAAATGTAGAAAGTATACGTGTACCCTCTTTTCAACTATTTATAACTAAAAAATTTATTATTAAACGAATGGTAAAGATTCACTTTAACAATCGTTAGATGCGGTTTGCTAATTACATATATTAAAATATATTTAATCTAAAAATAACTCTACCTACCAGCATTATTCTTCAGAGTAATTTTAATTAAAAGCACTATTCAATACAATCGTGAGCTTGAACGATTGAATGTGAATAACGATTTTAGATACAAAATTATTTAATAAATTACGTCTTTACCATTGAAAAGATTAACATTAGCGTTTCTTTTAGTCATTATAATTAATTGTATATTATAGAAAGAAGGATAGAATTTGGTGAAAATTTCCCAATTAGGGTACATTACACAATTTTGTCAATATTAATTTAAAATAGTAGTCTTAACCATGGTTTTATAGTAAACTTTAAGACAGATGTCTCTACTGGATAATATATCGTAATTCTTTCATTAAGGTTAAGTAAACGAAATAGATAAATTAGTTGCTTTTGAAGCTTATCCAAATTGTAAATTCTAAGAACATAAATACGTTGTAGATGTTAATATTTGCATGTGCATATTTATACTCTGTCTAAGCTGTATATAGAAAATAATACATACAATTGTACACATACAGTATACAACATTGTATCGTAGAGTCGATGCTATAGATAAAATACTTAATGATATGAATATACAAAGAGAGATTAAAATAAATTTGTAATAAATGATTAGCAGAAGTTAAGTAGTTCCTTACGCCTATAAATCAATCTAAACACTTGCATATACGCATATAAACGTATACACACGTCTACTAGCTCACACTATAACACCTACGCACCCATGTTCACTAAATATATATATATATATATATATATATATATGAACAGCATATACATATATATATATCTGTGTGTGTGCGTGTGTGTGCCGTTCATGCAAAATATATTAATTGATTGGTTAAACTGTATAAATTTAATACATTGAACATTCATGAGTGTATTTATCAGTATACAATATACATTTAAAGAAGTAAAATTATACAACATTGTATGTATAAAAACACAATTTATACAACAGTGTACAGATACTGCATATATAAATGCTTGTATTTTTATACATTTCTCTATAGTACTTATAGTATTACTGTATATGTCTATAGCGCCTGCTTTTTTTTTTTTTACAAACACATTGATTCGGCTTACGATTATTTACAAATTCGGGGCCTAAAATAACTTGAATATTTTTCTTCGAACAACACTTTTAGTCAGAATTGAATTACTTTCAGTATTTCCATACATTCTTTTGTGCATTTATTGACCTTCAAAACTCTATAAAATTGTATAATTAGACAGTATAGGCGAATCCCTTAGTATCCCTTGATAATCTTTCCTGATATTAAGCATTAAGAAGAGAAGACGAAATAAACTATAGCTTTGACTAGATTAACTATTTTTGACCTCCGAGTAAATCTAATTTAGTAAAAAATTTTCCCATACCTTTTTAATTTTTCTTGATGAGTCCCGTTCGATATCTGGCTTTCGACTGCTAGCAATAAAACCTCGTATTGAGCGGCTCCTAGCGGTGAGGCGACAGGCTGCCAGACATCGGCTGACCTTCTCTTTTAGCAGCTCCACCTAGGCTCGAGAGAGTTCGATCTCCGATAAAATAATCTCGTTTTTTCTACGATAAGAGTACGCCGCCTAGTACTAAGCGTAAACAACTGCAAAAATTTTTTGCAGAGCGGCGGCGCGGTTTTTTCTGCAAGGTTTCTGCGAGCCAGACTCGTTAGTCTTTCCGTCTGTATACGCATTTGATTAACGACCGGCGCCTGTTGTGAACTTTACAGATGAAAATAATTTTTCCAGTAAATTTTGCGGTATATTTTTAAGGAAAGAGAATAATCAACAAACGAGTCGATTCCCTTACCCCTTTCAGATCTCTTCTGACCTCTCTAGTATATTGGCAGGCTATGAAGTACTACGTATAGTACTAGAGCTTGTTAAGCTCTTTCTAGAAACAGACGAATTTACAATATAAAGTGTACACTTAATAGCTTTTTGCTTAATATTTCTAAAAGATGTTTAACTCTTATACAGTATATATGCAATCAGAAAGGGAAGCATTTTCTATTATAAATGCTACGAAACGATTTGAAGAAATATGGTTTGAGGACATTTTGTCAGTAGCAGATGCTCTTGTCTTTTATTTTGAAGATACAAGTAAGATATAAATATGAAATATATATAGAAAAATTCTTATCATATCTTTATAATTAAATCGAACTATTTAAGCAAATCATAGTAAAATCGTTTCTATTTTCATACAGTATTTATATTATTCTTTTATTGTAAAAGAATGTGGAAGATAAAGTGGGTGAAAACTGTACAACTATGTCACGTGATATCTTCCCAATCCTCAATATGCAAGCTAATTTCTTATTCTAGTTATTCTTGCTTAGTCTTCTTCATTATGCTAGTAATTTTCAGTTCCAAGAAGGAAAAGAGCAATAAAAAAAACTGTACTTTTGGACCAACCAATATCTCTCTTTCAGATACTTCATTCAACCTAGTTTATTTCATCTGTAATTTTTTTCGACCTTTCTAGCATTCCCAATAGTTTATAAACGAAAATATATGAGCTTACGCGCCGCAGTTTCGTTACTGCGTAGAATTGGAAAACTGCAATGCGAAAATCTGGCGGACGTTGGTCAAGATATCACGTCCGCTTGTTTGCGGCATCGATTATTTTTCCGCTACTGGCGTCTTTATTTGAAAATAGATTCAACACTAATAAAACTTGAAGAAGAAATTCCCCACCCAAAGTACGCAAATACGATATTTCTATCATTAAACAGCTAATAAACAATCGTACGTATTTCGTCTATTTCGTACAATCTACACACTTAAAGGATAAATAGACAAGACCGTCAGGTGGCACTGTAACTAATCCGAACACTTCCTCTGTCTGAATAAGTATACAAGAGTATATATATATATATATGCTATTTTGTATTACAACTACCGAATTTATATAAATATGTATATAGTACTGAGCCAAGTAAACATCATTATAAATATAGATATATGTATTTATGTATGTATAAACTTGATATATTTAGGTATATAAAGGAACCCCTTTATATTTTTACAGATCTATATATATATATATATATATATATGCTGTAAGTCTACAGTATTTCTTTATTCGTTGTTTAGATATGTATTTATGTAAGTGATACATCTATATTTTTTTCTAGCAGCTTTATTTCTCTTTTCTTCTTCTTCTTTTAAAATCTTCTACGATTAAACATTATGAATAGGCTTCTAATGATTATTCTGAAATTAATATATAATCCAAACATTCCCTATCTGAAATATGATAATAAAAAATATATAATTGTAGCATTTACGAATTCTTTAGGCCATTATCTCGAGCGTTTCTTTAAAAAAAAGAGGAATAATAGCATATTAACAAAAGCACTGCTAGAAAGAATTCTGCAATATCCTGGAATAATAGAAGTAAAAAATTTTCCTACAGAAACTATTCCTCTTTGACGTAATGTTGTTATGTTTATATTTACTAGGAAAATTGATTTTCTATTTCAAAATTTTTCCTATCACCTCTTCGAGAAATGCCACACTCACTTTTAATTCATTCATTAATTACCTAAACAGAAAAAAGGTAATATATACAAAGGGAGTATTGTTAATCCTGGCAGATTTATTAAAAAAAGCCGTGTATGGCTTTTCTTCTTGTAAAAGAGGAATGAAGTCTTTGAATCAATGTCATATAGTAAAATTCGGGAAATTAAGAGTCTCTAGAGGTTTAGATAATTCCCCAATAAATATTAATGATCGATACTCAATAGGCCAAGATAAGGCGTCTAGTAATTTGCATTTTTAATAACAGCGTCTTTTCTTTTCTACAATCGATTTCTAACAAGATAAATTATGTTTTACTCAAACTTTATTCTAATTAGCCTTCCTTTTCCTTTAAAGAATGTAGCGCTAGAAATATATACAGTATATTTATATATATATATATACTGTATATGTTTGTGTAAAGTAGTTCTAATTCTCATATATTCCCTTTTTACCTTGTGATAACGATTGTGAATAAGATCGTATAGAGTACATTGTAGGAGGCCTGAGAAAGATTTTTTCTCGTTATAAGCAGTACAGTGTATACAACGTAGTC